AAAAAAAAAAAAAAAAAAAGAGAGGGCTCTCAGGGAAGTGACATTTCAGTGCTACTGGAAATGAGGCGAAACCCACCTGAGATGAGGGAGAACCTTTGGAGCAGAGGAAGAAGCAGTCGCAAAGGGCCTGAGGTGGGTAAAGGCTAGGTTAAGACCAAAGGGGACCCAGGGTGACTGACGAACCAAGAAGTCATGGACCTTTGAAGCAGGGAGGGACACAGTTCGATTGTGATGTGTGTGGTAAGACAGACAGAACACGAGCCAGTGGTGACGGGACGTGCTTACCGCCCTAACCCTGAGAACACTGACACAGGGGGATGGTCAGTTCATGGCTGGCCTAGAATACACAGAGATTTCCAGGTCAGAAGGACTACAGTCTGAGACCCTGTCCAAAAAAAAAAAAAAAAAAGTCAAGTATGGTGGCACACCTCTTTAATCCCAGCACTCAGGAGGCAGAGGCAGGCGGGTCTTTGTGAGTTCGAGGCCAGCCTGGTCTACAGAGCGAGATTCAGGAAAGGTGCAAAGCTACACAGAGAAACCCTGTCTTGGAAAAACCAAAAAGAAAAAATAATAAATAAAATGTCTGGTTGGGGCAGGTGAAATGGTTCAGTGGATAAAGGAGCTTGCTGCCAAGCCTGACGGCCTGAGTTTGAACTCTGGAATTCCTACAAGTTGTCCTCTAACTTCACACACACACACACACACACACACACACACGCACACGCACACGCACACGCACACGCACACGCACACGCGCTGAGGCACACCCCTATCCCTACACACTCACCACATATACAAATAAATACAAATTTTAAATTCTAAACCAAAACATCAACGCTGGCTCTGGTTGCTTGGTGGATCGGGGTTCCTGGAAGGTAAAGATCACAAGTGCAGGTCGACGATGATGACCTGTGGGGAGATGGGCAGGAAGAGGGGTGTGGAGAGAGCAGCTGGATGGCAGCTGGGGGCTGGCTGTGGAGGGGAGACAGGGCGGTATGCTCAGCAGTGGCATGCATGACATGGGGAGTCCGGAGGGGCTGTGAGGGGCTGTGAAGGGCTGTGAGGGGTGGCTTACCTGTGCAATCCTATGATCTGAACAGCCAGTGGGCAGGTGTCAGGCAGGCAGTGTGTGTGTGTGTGTGTGAAATGGAGAAGAGACTCCAACCTTGGGTATTGTTCCTCAAGAGTCATCTACACTGTTTTTTGAGGAAGAGTCCCTC